TCCTCATCTTAGATCTGTGCAGTTCTCATTATTAAATAGTCTTGGTGCCAACTCGAACTTCTGCCACTTAAAGACATTAGTCTTTGTTCAGCACTCTGAAATTTAATTTTCATCACAACAGCTCTTCCAAGACTATGTTTAAGGTAGGAAGTTTCCAACCTCATTTCTTTCTTCGTGCACTCAGGGAATTTGTTAGCTGTAGGTATTGCTCCAGCTGCTCTCACACAGTGTAATACATCCCCATCCCTAAGGCCATTTTTAAATACACCCTACCTAGAAGGATTCACTGTTCAAACTGACAACTAAAGTTCTGAAAGCAGCTTCCAGAGATAACACCGGATGTGGGCTAAGGGCAAAAGTGACTTATAATAAGAAATCAATCCAGAATTCATTCAATTTCAAATGGAAGAAGGAGTTAAAACAGAGCTTAACTGAGCTGATTCCTAAGTGGAAAGAAAGATGATGTCTGTATTCTCTTTTATTTTAAATGTGTCAAGAGATGGAAAGAATTATTATCTTCCTTTTCTCTTTTGTTTTAAATGTGCAAACAGACTCTGAAAATATCTTCTCACTGGCAGACCGAACAGTATTGGTAGCTGCGCTAGCACTTTTATTTGAACCAGTGGGATGGAGTCTTTGATCTTCCGACTTGCATCAGTGGAATTATTTACTGGAGGCAAAAGATGAGCAGGTAAGCTCTGAAGATATCTTCAGGCCAGTGCGCACATCTCCAGTTTGTCAGACAACATCTACTAACCCAAGTAATTCAAGGAGGCTGTGTACATTTGAAGAACATTTCTGGGGCCTTCTCTTTCCCTTCCTCTAATTGCAATCCCAAATAATCTGATAAAACACAACTGGATGAAGCATATAAGCAAAGAATCTAGGCAAAAACTGTGTCCAGTGACTCTGTTCTGCGGTAGCCACTACAGAAGACGATAACGCAGTGCTTGGCTTGCGATTATAATTGGTGCCCTTACACACTGAAAAAGACTGAAGGTTGGTCTCGCCACAAAATTCCTATGTTGAAACCCCAACGGTGATGTGAGAGTCTTTGGCGGTGGAGCTTACGGGAGATAACTGGGCCAGGGAGGTAAGGCCATTGGGACGTGTCTAGGTCATCTCTGGATAGAGATCAATGCACCCCTGGGGCATCCCTGTACTCAGCAGGCTGAGGCAGGAAGTCTTCAAGTTTGAGCCCAGGGAGATCCTGCTCCAAAATAACATTATTAGAAAGGCTAGGGATGTAGGTCAGGGGCAGCAGGAGGGACTCACACATAGACACTAGAAAAAGATGTCAATCTGCAGCACAGAAAGGGGCCCTCATCTCTGACTTCTAGCCTCCAGACTATGAGAAATAAATTTCGATAGTTTGCAAGTCAGGAAATGTATAATTTCTTAAAGCAGTCTAAGCTAAGACAAGTATAAAAGATATTCACCTCCATTTAATAGCACAGTAGTTTAAAACAGCAACAGGCTCTCGGGATCCTCAAAGCTCAGGCCTCCACTTTCTTTAAGTTCCTGTCTAAATGCCAACTTCACCGTAAGGCCAAGGCTGCCCAATTAAAACTGCAATATCCTCTTTCCTCCCACCCTCCCAATTCCCTTAACTTGCCAATTTTCTTTCATTCAGACACCTTAGCCCCTAGTAATAAACCATAAGGTTTACTGGATTACCCTTCTTTTCCTTCTGAACAACGCACACTCTCACACACACATGGATATAAAACCAACTAGGACAAGATGTTTATTTACCAGTGCATCAAAAGCATCCAAATGGCACATAGCAGAATGCAAAAAGTCAAGCAATGCTAGTTCACGCATGAACCAATGACTGTGTATTACACTGAGTTGGCCCAGAGTCCTGCTTTCGGCCCATTACCACTACACAACTCTGGAGAAGTTACCACCCTCTCTGGTCCTCAGTTTCCTTTTAGGTAAAACAGGGCACACGTGAGTCCCCATCCCACAGGATCCTCGTGAGGGTGCAGTGAGGCAGTGCATGTGAAATGCTTAGAATCATGCCTGCACATAGCAAGTACTCGATAAGCATTAGTTGTCATCATTGTTATTAGTTCAAGATATGTTTCCCAAGGTGCTGATGGATTTGTGATGATTTACGTTCGGGCAACTAGCTCTCCTCATCTGACAGCAGCAATCTGAGATGGTGAAAAGGCTCTGGGTAGAACAGAGAACTAGCAGAGGTTAAGCCCCATGGCTATGTCTCTCCAGCTCCAATCAACAATATCCAAGGCTTCGCAAAGGAGCTGTTAACAGTGTAAGAGCTACTGCCTCTGACCTGCAGAAGTAGAATAAACATAACAGAGAAACCACTGAGTAAGTGATGGTGAGGCTCAGAAACCTTAAAAGGCAGGGAAAGCAGCTCCCTTCTTCCTACTTGAACTGAGATTTGTTTATTTGGCTTAACTGGAGTCAAAGCTAATGGTTCTAATGGCTTTGAATCACCCAAGTCATTCTCCAGATTTCTACACACCAGACTATAACTTACACTTTTTGAAAGAAGATAAAGAGAAAGAAACAGTCTTCCATAAAAGAATTTACCAGAACACACTAGTCACTTAGACACTTGCTCATGTTTCTAGAAAGCTGAGGGTCAAGAACCATTTGGTTATTTTCTGCTAGAGCAAAACTGAAGTTTGCTTAAAGACTGTAGGGGGTGGGGCCGCAAGGCAGATCCTTAATCTGAGTCTTCACTTCCTTTAGGAAAACAAAACACTTTGGAAAGAGGCACTCTGGGTTTACACATCGCTTTCATCTAGGAAGAAACACAAAGATTTAAGGACCTACTGAGTTAGGAGGGGATGTGAGAACAGGAAGATAAAGATGAGAGAGGAAGAGGAATGACCAGAGGAGGAGGGTTATTTACAGATTTCTTGGCAGAAACAGCCTTCACTTCCCTACTAATTATAACATGTCTTCCCACAGCTAATCTCCTCTTAAGTGGTCCATTAAAGCATTAGGAGACGAAAATGAAATAAATGACCACACAGCAAAGGAAAAGATAATGACTAATCAGGCCACTACGGAATTTCTCTCTTCACTTTCAGAGAACAAAGACCCCAGGAGTAGAAGCTGGAATTAAATTCCTGATTCCCAAACTGATGCTTTAGCTAGCCTCTTACACAAAAATCTTCCCAGAACTTTAGCGTGCACATGACAAGTCACTGGGGAGTTTCAACATTCTCCTTTCTGACAACCTCTCAGGCAACCCCACTGCCTTCCTTGGGTTACCCTGAGTTGGAAGCTCCTGCCCCACTGCATCTGCTAAGGGAAGACAAGCCTCCAGAATAACTGCTGTTTTTTAACGAAAAAGAAGTATTTTCCAAAAACAGAGGAAAATAAGATTACCAGTGAAATGCTGACATTTTTAAAGTTCTTCCAATTCATTACCTGTATATTCAAGGAGCATCTACAGGGTAGTATCAACTGCCATGAATTAGTAAGACATAACTGTTACCGATTTTTGAAGCATTACACAAACACCAGTGTTTCACAGTTGGGTGGTCTCACTGAAGTCTATTGATATGCATTCATTATTTCCTCCTTATCTCCGAAATACCACATTACGCCTAATTTGTACCAACTTAGAAAACTGTCTTAATTGGCACCTTCCTTTGATAATACAGTACTACTATGTCCAGGGATTGTTTTCACTTTCTTTTAAATCTGACATTTTAGATAAGAAAGATGGCACTGGAAAATTCCACAGGCTTATTCGCACGGATTTGTCAGGCGATAACACAACACCACAATGCTGACCGTGCCTCCTTGTATATAAAACCTTATTTAGGAGAGGCATAGCGTAACGGGGAGAGGGGACAGGGGAAATGGTCACGTTGTTTCCTTTCTCTATTTTTCCCCCCTAGCCTATTATAGAGGAATCTTGATGCATTTGATAAGAATCCATGAAAACTAAACTCAGGGTATCTCTGGCCAACACAGTTTCTGCCCCAATTTTCCTATTGGTCCCCTTCAATCAGCTGGGCACAAGAGGTTTTTCCCTATAAAAAGCCCACAGTGTATCTAAATCTGATCCCAGTAAAATTTGACTTCAGCTGAAGTGAAAATGTAGAGGTAGCATTTACCGCAACAGCTGGAGAACATTAGCTCCCTGTCTCTCCTTTTCTCTCCCAAGGGTTGAAAATTCTGCAGTTCAGACAGGAAGTCGTCATATACCCCACACTGCACAGCACAGAATGCTGGGATATAAGAACAAGTCGCAGAGGATTTAGGAGTTCTGTGGAGGGGTTTTATTAAAGATTGCACAGTACTGGCCCTAAGCACTTCTTGGCCCACGCCCCCAGGCCCCGACACTAAGTGTCATAATGTATGCACACCCAGAACTGACCAGCACACGGAACAATTACAGAAAGCTTTTCAACTCACGTTAGAAAGCTTCATCTGTCATTTCGCCGCACATTTTAAAAACATTAACTTGAAAGACATTTTGGGGAGTGGCCAAGACTCTCCAATAATCTTTTCTGGCAAACTTTCACGTTTGTTATCAAAACACGACACCTTTAACTTTTTAAAAAAAATTATAAAGTCGTCAAAAATATGTCTCAGCTAACTGCCCAGGTCAGAGATAGAGACACATATACGTACAGACACAGATACACAGATATGTGTACGGGCACAAATACACACACGGAATTTACAACTCGATGATCTGGAAACAAATGGCTTAGACAAAAGGTTCGTGTGGATATATATGGCTTTTTCAGGGTCGGTCACAAAGCTGCTGAGAAACGAACACAGATACAAACAAGGGAAGAGACACCCACAGTCCGTGGCCACAGTCCTAAGCTCTGAGCAGGAGATAAGAGGTTCCTTAACCCCACATTCTGGAGAGCAGCTCCGCATTCCTACCAGTCTGTGAGCTCGGGCCCCGCCTTTGTAACCGCCTGTCCTCAGGGGCGCAGTTGTAAAACCGACCCGGCTCTTCCCCTCCACTCCAGCCAAGTCCACTACACACAAACCTTAACTGTGGACAGCAAAACACCTCCGCCTGTGCGCATCGGGGGCACACTGTTAATCAACTGAGCTACAACTCTACGGTTTAATGCAAAGCCCGGGAGGAGGGACGAGGGAGAAGCCAACCCACACATCCCTCAGCCTTTTAGGAGTAGGCGGGGTTTAAAGTTTCCCCAACTTCCAAGTTCCCACTTGACAGGCAATATTTCTGTGCAATTTCCAGCCCCACGTAACAGATGGTCCTTTGCCCGTCGTGAGCCCCGAGAGAGCCCAGACAAAGCTCCCAGCCAGTCCACGCCTCGCGGAACCTAGAGGTGGTTATTTTCACGCAGCTGTCAGACCAGGGGCAGTGAGCAAAGAATGGAAGTTTAACTTCCCCTTTTCCGAGAAGTTTTTTCTTTCTCTTTCTTTTCTTCCTTTTTTTAAAATTCTTTCTTTTTTTTTTTTTTTTAAAATTTTTTTTTTTTTTTTTTTTTTTTTTTTTTTTTTTTCCTGTTTTTCTCCCCTCTGCTACAGGAAAGTCCAGGGAACTGGAACACAAAGGCCTGGGAAAGTTTTGCTGCGTGATTTTTCCAAACCCTGCTCTACCATCTGCCAAACCACCATCGGACACCCCAGGTGTCCCGGGAAGGAAAGTTGAGGCACACGTGCTGGGAAACAGCAGCCTGCGACTCGGGCCGCCCCGAACACAGACGACCCCTCTCCTCTCCC